GCCAAGGCTGAGGGTTTAGGGTTGAGGGTTTAGGGCTTAGGGCTTTGGGTTTAGGGTTTAGGGCTTCGGGTTTAGGGCTTAGGGTTTAGGGCTCAGGGTTTAGGGTTTAGGGCTTTAGGTTTAGGGTTTCGGGCTAAGGGTTTCTTGACGTTACGAATGCCTGTGGCGGAGAGAGAGAGCAAGAGGGCTTCGGATTTTGTGTAAATCATCAGAACAGCGCATGGCAGCTGAGCGGCTCTTGCAACTTTCTGAAAAGCAAGTCGCTGTCATCCAGTGTCGTCTTCACTGTGGTTTTGCAGATGTCTGCTGCTATATACCAATGTCCCCGGCCGTCCCCGGCCCCCGGGCCGCTACGGCCAAGCTGCAATGCAGGCCCGCAAGCGTGAAGTGGTTCACCGGGACGTGGCTTTCTTCATAGACGCGGAGGCGCGGTGCATCTTGTGGGACATGGGAGCTACGAAGAGCAGGGGGAGAAACCTCAATTCCCGAGTGGATGCAACACGCGTTTTCGTGAGTTTAGGGTTTGCGGAATGTAGCATGTCGTATTATGGCAGTACTCTTGAAGTCAATCACACACTGCCCTCACCGAAAGTCCTACATTCCGAAACTGTGAACGCGAAAGCCGTAAACCCGAAATGCTAACCCGGCCTGCTTTTGCTTGGCCCTTCGAGGAGGCCGGCGACGCCGAGTATCAAAAGGCTGATAGCCTGAGCCTCCTGCTTGCCAGCCCCTGGACTTAGTTAAAGGAAACTACAGGTGGGGAGTTTGGGGTATATAGGGCTTCTATAAGGTTTCCATAAGGTATAAAGACCTTCTTTAAGTCTCCTATATAACGGTACCTACCCACCTGAAACTGTCCTAGACTTAGTCTGACAAGAGAACTAAGTTCAAAGCTGGCCCTAAACTCTGGGCCGAACTTAACCCCTAATCCTGACAGCCCAAGAAGCTTTAAGCCAAAAAGCTCCGAAACCACACCCGTCAGTGTTTTCATATGAAGAGCGCTCGCAGTTCAAAGTAGCGTCCGCGGACATCCGCAGCAGCACGGGCACGGAGGTAAGAAGATTTCCTAAAGTACTGTCAGGTTCGAACCATTTCCTCTTGATAACCTACGCAGCAGCAGCAACATACAAGCTGCAAGAACACGCTGCATATGCAGAGGTATGTGCATAGTCCAACATATGCCCGTCTGTCTATTTACCATTCAATCAGTCGTCTATCTATCCATCTATCTGTCTATCTATCTATCTATCTATCTATCTATCTATCTATCTCTCTATCTCTCCACCTATCTATCCATCCATCCATCTATGTATCTTTATATCTGTCTGTCTATCTATCTATTTATCTACCTGTCTGTCCATCTCCATATCTATCTTTATCTATATCTATATATCTATCTGTCTACCTATCTATCTATCTATCTATCTATTTATCTATCTATCTATCTATCTATCTATCTATCTATCTAATCTATCTAATCTATC